TCATTCTTTGTGTTTAGCCAATATTGGTACATGTTTCATATGTGATTGTCAAGGTCTACAAATTCATCAGTCTCAAAATCTAGGTAAGGTCGGATATCTATCTCCTATTGACTAAATATGGTTCTTTTTCCTTGAATTTTTTACTTTCCTTTGCCATTTAAGACCCAAATTTTAGCCCTCATTTGAGCCCCATTACCTGAAAATGAAAATGGGGGGAATAATATTTTTTAGAAAATTAAGTAGTTGAAAAAGAAGGAAAAGTTTTCAATTTACGTATAATATTATTTTATGAAGGATTGTGTGGTTGAAAATAAAAGAGAGAAAAATGGAATGTAATATAATTGAATTTAATGGGGATCAAACAGGTGGTTAAGCTCTAGCCCAATAAATGCCTTTTGAATAACTTTTTTTTTCAAACTACATTTATCTTTACATATAATGTTTACATAAAGAAAAATATAAAATTTATTGAAACATGGAAAACATAACTATAGAATCATAACATATTGCATAAAAAAGATTTTAATTTTGCTTAGCTAAAGATACCTGGGTCGTAGGATGAGGTCGACTGTTGGATGCGAGGTGTCATGGAGTGCCTTAAATATTTCATTTTTCTCATCTTCAAATTTCCTATTTGTACTTAAAATAATATTATTTAAAAAAACGATATTTCTACATAATCGACTAAACTTGTGCTCTGATATTACGCTGTAATGTCCCGACTCACATGGATCGAAACGTCACGAGATTAACTGTACTTTAGTCGTAAATTTTTTTAAACAATAATTCAATACTAAAAGAAAACAATTTCAAAAATATTTTTAGAATGAGTTTCATGCATGTAACGACTATTGACTTGAAATTTTTGACAAAACTTAAAAAGTAATGTTGCTGTTTTAGTTTTTGTCTCAAACGGTAATTGTTAAAATAAATTTGTTTGCATAGCTATCGACTTCAAAACTTTATCAAATTTTAATGTAAAGTAGGAAACTCCTTATAAAATGACATAGTAAAAAATTAGCTTCTATCGGCATCATATGAGATAATAAAATATTTTTCAAAACTTAGTAGCGACCCGATTGAAATGTAAACCGGTGCAGTTCACTTAAAATGACATATAAAATTCCACAAATTCAAAACCACATGATTTCAAATTTATTTAGTAGCTAATTCATGAAACTATCAAATCCAATTGATTCATCTAGAAATTCCAAGTAACGGTCGAGTTATGAATTTTTGAAGTCAATGTAGAAGCTGGAAAAATGGCGACACTACTAGTGCAGTTTACTTTATGCAATATTTAAAGTTTTACCGACATCGAATTGATATGATTCCAAGTTTATTCAATAACTAACTTATGAGGCTATCCATTGCCACTGATTTTGTATAAAAATTCCAAGTAATGAAGGAATTATGAATTTTTAAAAACGAGGCAGAATCTCACTTTTTTTTTTATAAAGAGACTGCAAACTTTAAATCGCTAACCCCCTTTTTTTTGTAAACGGTGATTTGTAAATTTATTCCTATGACACATATCCACTTTCAAACATAATTTATCCATAAAGAATGTTCGTAGAATAAATCCACACACGACATCCATAGTAATCTAATTTTAAAAAACGTAAACATTTCTAGATATTAAATCACCGGGTTCTCCATGGCATATCGCATCATCCTTTACCATCATCCACGCCCCAAGGAAAATACATTCAACCTGTAGAAAGGGAATTAACCCATGAGTTTGAAACTCAATAGATATCATTGGTGCATTTCGTTGTCAAATTAAAAATTTTGAACTATAAATTCATACCATTGCAGGTAGATGGATTTTCGACAAAATCCAATTATTATAGCATTATCATAACAAATAGAGTTGGAGAATAATCATTCAAACAGTTGTACTGCCGAAGCACCGTATCCGGAGGTACCATTTCATTTAAACATTTATAGAAAAATCAAATTTGAAAACGAAATAAATACTTGTACATCTACCTACCTTGAATTTTATTGGATATAAAGAACAAAATGAGTAGAAAGCCTTTCTTCTTTTTACCCTTGTCATTCCCTTAACTTTAATTTACATTAAAAAAAAATATTTTTTTAGAGAAAATAAGAGGAAATTTCAAATTTGAAGAGGGGTGTAGTGAAAAAGTGACCTTCCACTTCTTATAACATTTCTTTTTAATGAAAAACTAAATGAGGGAGTTGTATTATCATTAAGTTTGTTAAATTGGGTCTTTAACTAAGAATTTGAAGAGTTTTTAAACCCTAAAAAAAATAATTTATAAAAAGTTTTATAAAAACATCTACATGGTGATTCAGACCTGAATTGCCTATACGAAATATCATGTGAATGACCATTGTGGTAACCTAATTATTCATTAAATCTTTGTAACCAAATGTACTTAAATTTAATCTTTTAAATTGTTGGGCTTTTAATTAACTTATGACTTGGGCTTTTAAAATCTTAAATGGGTTGAGCTTCCATAGCTCGTTTCTTGAATGAGCTAGGCTTGTGATGCTAGATCATCATAATATAATAGCCTAATTTCATTTCATTTCTCGAGCTTCTACAAATAGTATAATTCCTGACAACAGTGCCAAAAATTTGTTTGTCTTAATTGCAAGTATACAATATTATAGGCAAGTAATAAAGAGTGAATAAAAAATACTTCTCATGATGACTACATATTCGATTAGATTTCGATAAATGTTAACTTTAATTGATGTAACACAATTTTATAAAGATTGATAATCGTAAATCAAATTCAACAACTAACTAAATAAAAAACTTTTAATTATAATATCAATCTTTTCTGAAAACTCAAATCAATTAAAATCACGAAGATCTCGAATCTCCATATATTCCTCTACTTTAATATCAACTCAAGTAATTGAAAATAGTTATCTAGAGTTGACAATCAACGTTCGTATTTCATTTAATAGTCCATCTTGAGTAATATTAAAATTATTCTCTAATATATTTCTACTATATCTATATGAATGATGCGAATATATGAAAATGAATTAAGTCTCAAAAACATTCACACTAAGATCATGCAACACATAGAGATATATTTTCGATTCACTTTTAAACTTTAAAATGATTGTTAAGCTTTCTATTCCTTCTCTCATATAGAATGGAAATCTTGTATCTATTTAATAATTCATCAAGTAATTAAAACACTAATAAACTAACAACCATTTATGACAAACAAGTATTTGATATCAAGTTCTTAAATTAACATTAAAATCTCAAAATATACTGATCATTGTTATCCTAATATCTATATAATTAGCCTATGTAAAATGACATAAACATGAATAGGAATGATAGTATATCACCCAATTTTCAATTATATAAAAAAATGGAAAATAAATCTTCAACTCTTTAATCTTTTCAATAATTCTTGAATGATCCTTTTGTATTCTCTTCTTTGTCTTCCAAACCCTAAGTAAAAATATTAAATTTGAGTATGAAATTGTTTTTGTGAATCAAAAGCCTCCTCCCTTGAATGCCAGATGAAATCTTCTATTTAAAGTCCCAAGATTATGGTATTTTCATGACACAACCTCATTTACATAAAAGTCTACTTGGATTAGAATATTAAATCTGGATATGCCGCGTAAAGCCATGAGATCGCATAGTATAAGGGGTTCAATCGAATGGTTATACCTCATATATACCGATTCTAACTTTTATCTAGTTGCGATTGCATGGTTTAGCTTTTGCAATCGCAACAATTATAGCTTGTTTGGGAGTTATTTTTTGTTCCAAAAAATTGATTTTTTGACCGTTATTTCACTTTTTCAGTCGTCATATTTGATTTCTTCTCTTATAGGTGGACCCCACTTTTCTCCTTACGGTCAAAAAATCAATTCTCAAAATCACTTCCAAACAGGCCCTTAATCTTGTTATGTTCAAGTTAGTTTATGAATGTCTTCTTTGTTCAACGTAATTCCTTTCTTATGCACCACGGCTCTTTCATATTTCATATCTTAACACTTTAGTTCCAATTTTCATAATCTGCTCCTCTTTGGTCCTCATCATTTGATTTATACTCAAATGCAACCAAGTCCAGGTTTTACCTACAATTAGCATATTTACACTAAATCAAGTAGAAATATACTCAATTAATAATAATTTATCAAAATTTAAAGTATAAATAACTGTATTAAACAAACTTATCAGGTTTCTTCCAAAGCTTCTATGAATTATTTCATTACTTTTGCGATTCATTTAGTAGGGTATTGACCTAGTCGTATTGAAATTGGTAGTGATGCGATGTTCCTATGTTTATTTTGGTGGGCTTCTGATGTTGTGTTGTTGCAAAGGTCTGTATGGGTAGAGTTCAATAAAGATATGAGGGTGGGGTACAATGGGATAAGTAAAGAGGAAGACTACTTTTATATTATTTTTATATTCTTTTTTGCCTTTTTCTTTTCCGAATTTTTGTTTGTTAAAAATTTAAGGGTACAAATGTCTTTTTACACCACTTTATAATTTTTTTTTGATGGATTCAGTCAATGAGGACCATCTGTACAAATTAATGAAAGGTTGGGGGCTGAGATGCTGGATAAAGGTTAAAATGGACAAAATTGTTATAATATGAAAAGATTGGGAACCCAAAGTGAAATTCAAAAATATTTTGAAAAATTATAAATAAAATAAAATAGAGGAAATAACGAAAAACAGTGCTAATTTTCTTCTTTTATTTGACATAAGGAGAAAGCTACATCTTTGAAATCCTAACTTCCATCTCAGCAAAAAATGCAATTTATCAAAATCCCCAATTTTCACTGTATAAATGGTAACACCATAAACCCTAAAATTAATTTATGCAATTCCAACAATTCGCCTTTTCAATTGAAGAGATTGGGGTTTTCCCGCTCAATTATTCCAGCTTCCAATACCATCTTCTCAATGCCAAATTCTAACAATTTCGTTATTCCAAAACGCCGTTGTATGAAATCCTTCATTTCTGCTCGAAAAGCATCCAGTGCCGACGACTATTATTCGGTTCTCAATATAAGTAGAAATGCAACTTTGCAAGAAGTTAAAACGGCTTATCGCTCACTTGCTCGCAAGGTATATATTAGGGTCTGATTGTTGACTTAACTGTTAAATTTGTTGGGTTTTTCTTTTTCATCGATTTGGTGAAGTCGTATGTGAAAGAAGTTAGAATAACAAGTCATTTTTAGAGACATCTTTTTGAGTTATATCCACATTCTATGTAATATCAATTGATTGTAAACTTGAACCTGTAATCACTCGTTATTGCAGAGAGGCAAATGAATTGATGTCTTGGTGTTAATTTGGTACACGTGGCAAGATTGGTTTTGCTTGTGTAAAATGTTTTTGTCTGATGGTGCAAATAGCAGGCTCCAACTATGTGTTACTCTATAAATTATATTGTTGAATTGTGCTCACTACTTCTGTGTTTTAATTCAAATGTCTTTGTGTGGAAGCAGTATCATCCAGATATAAACAAGGGTCCAGGTTCTGAAGAAAAGTTTAAAGAAATAAGTGCTGCTTACGAGGTACCCCCTAGCTTCTTTGTGGCCTATTTAAAGAATAAAAACACTGATTGGCCTGAAAAATTAATATGATTCAACATGCTACCTATGATTTAAGTTTCCCCAAAATTTCTTGTGCCATTTGAGCTTGCACCTGTTTAGTTGCTTTTTCATTTGAGATTGTTAGACTAGTGTCCAATTTTCAAACCGATAATATATCATATCTTGAATAAGTCATCAGAAAACTATTCTACTCCTTTAGTAACAAGGAGTTTGTGTAGATATTATCAGACAATGAGAAAAGATCTTTGTATGATCGCTTTGGCGAGGCAGGTTTACGGGGGAATTTTGACACATCAAGCACTGGTCCTAAAGAGGTTAGATTATATAACCTCAAACATTTTTTATGCCTAGAATGGCTACAAATAATTCCTTCTCATCTGTACTTTTCATTCTAGCTATTCATGGTTTAACCGTTTCTTGTGATTTATGTGTTCAATTAGGTGGATCCTTTTGAAGTATTTGCTGAATATTTTGGTGAATCAAATAATTTTTTTGGACGGAGTGGTGAACCAGGTGGCTTCAATTTTAAGTTTAGAGAAAAGGGCAGCCAGATTCTTGACATTAGGTAATAATTTACTAGCATTTAATCTCCCTCCATTCGGGACTTTTTGTTTCTTGTATTCTCCGTACATTGGAACTGTATATTTGATATTGTTTCTCGTGTGTCATATCACTTCCCAAACCGTATTGTTTCCTTCCTCCAAGTTTTGCAGCATGCTGCTGTCCAAAGAGGCCAAGAATCTAAACTTTGTGTTATTAACCACCTCCTTCATTGGACAGCAAATACTATATCAGTAGATTTTATTTGTTCATATAGCCCCCTGGTTGGCCCCCATTTCTTAAAACTCATTTTCAACCACAGGGCGTACAATTTTTATCAACTTTTGAACCACACATTTTACCAACTTTTATAAAAATCTACTAAAAATTTATTTTTTTATTAAAACCAAATAGGGGCTAAGTACTTTTACCCTTCAATTGGGCATAAATACAGGCTCCAAATCCTTCATATTCCGTATCTGACATAAGATTTTACCTAAATATTTCATGACTAATCATCCACACTTTCACTCTCGAGGATGATAAATGCACTTTTTCCTCTTTTAAAATCATGAAGCTTTAGGTTTTCATAAGAAAGTATTTGGAAAGAGGAACCTAGGTAGATTTGCTAGGGTTCTATCTATTATCCTTTGATATTAACTCTCTCCCCCCTAGCAAGCAGTTAGTCTAGGCATTTAATATCCTTAATTATGCGGCATGGTTATGACCTCGTCATATTTACTTATTTGTATTCTCTTATGCAACAGATATGACCTGTATTTGAGCTTTGAAGAATCAATTTTTGGAGGGGAAAGAGACATTGAGATATCGCGTTTTGAGACATGTGATGATTGTGGTGGAACAGGTGCAAAGTCAAGTAGTTCCATGAAATCTTGTAGGGGCTGTGGAGGTAGAGGCGGGGTGGTTAAAACACAGAAAACACCTTTTGGAATTGTGTCTCAGGTACTTATATTATGATCCATAAATGCATGAATCATTATGATCCCAAAACATACTCAAGCACCCCTTTTTGGAAAGTTCAAACTATATTATTATGTATGATGCGTTTGTTTGATAAATGAACTTGTCCTTCTTGGGAACTTAAACTAATCTAGAAACTTGTGCAAATGCTGCTGATGTACTAACATTATTGCTGCTCACTCCTGCCACCTCTTGTCAAAGTAGGCCCGTGATTTATAGTGTTGGTGTGTTCCATCTGCCAATTCTATCTGTTCATTTTACGTGTGAGCCTGGGGCACATGGTAGAGTGAATAAAGAACAATAGCCTTATTGCATGTTGGTTCTATACATGTCATTATCCTTGTTAAGTCACTCCACCCTGTAGCATAGCTTTGGATGCAAATCCATGGGCTTCTAAGATAATAAATACTTCAGATGCTATGGTTGTCTTTCTTCTACTTGATCTCTATTATGCGTTATGTTGCAAAATCAATGGAAATGCATCATGCCAGGAAATATGTTATAGGTTTCCAATCTACTTTGTAAACTCCATTTCTTTGGCAATGTGTAGATGATACTTCTTGACCTCTAGGTAACTACTTGTTCCAAATGCGGTGGTGATGGAAAGATAATTACTGATCAATGTCGAAAATGTGATGGTGCTGGTCAAGTTCAAGCAAACCGGAGTGTTAGAGTGGTTGTTCCACCAGGCATTCATGATGGAGCCACGATGCAAGTTCAAGGGGAAGGAAATTTTGATAAAATAAGGTGTGTGCTGATGTGTCAATACAGTTTTTTTGATATGATTTCCCTGGTCTCTAGAAGTCATTTGATAATTGTGAGTTTTTATATTGCTATTATTTGCCATGTGTCTTGGGGGTTATCCTTCATATCATTGGCATCCATTAATTGTGTTTTTGTGTATTCCTCTGCATCCTTATTTATTTATTTATTTTATAAAATAAGGTGTGTGCTGATGTGTCAATACAGTTTTTTTGATATGATTTCCCTGGTCTCTAGAAGTCATTTGATAATTGTGAGTTTTTATATTGCTATTATTTGCCATGTGTCTTGGGGGTTATCCTTCATATCATTGGCATCCATTAATTGTGTTTTTGTGTATTCCTCTGCATCCTTATTTATTTATTTATTTATTTTTTCAATTTATTTATTTTTATTTTTATTTTTTTGTTTTTGTTTTCATTTTTGTTTTTGTTTTTGTTTTTTTTTTTTCTGTTTTTACTTTTTCAAGTACTTGTGTCTTACTTTGAGGGTTGTAGGTCTATAACAACTCATAAATCTTTTGTATTCACACAGAGATCCTATCAACCAATCTTCTGCTTTTATATCATTCCATTTTCTGTGTGGTTTACGATGCCTAATGGCTCTAGAATTGGTAACATTGAAGTAATCCGGCATACAGAAGTTTGAAGGACTAAGAGGATATTCATCCACCTCTCTTGAACCCTTAAGCTATTAGAGAAGCGAGACCTAATATATTTGTTGGATTTGACGCCATGCAAACTACCTCATCTAAAAACTAAGCTAATAGGGAGGAGACAAATAAGGAGATTATAATACTAATTTCTGAAGTTTTTGGTTTCAGTTATGGAAACAAGCAATTACTTAACCACAATTGATTCTTCTGCGTAAAGGAACAACAAACCGCAACATAAGTTCACATCAGTGTGCATTAACCTAATTGATTTTGGGCTTAAAGGTAATAGATCAACCTTTCTATAATTCAAGCTCCATGTTTTGTCTTCTTAGACATTTTAGTGCCCCTTAATATAATGTGTTTGTAAACAAATTTTGGCACTTAAAACCTCTTAGAAAGTTATTCAGATAAAGAGCTAAGTTTTAAAATTGAGTTTTTGGTTTGGGAGGAGAAATGATAGCTCTCTGTGGTGCTCGGCAATTGTCATGCACACACACACTGGTGATGGCTTGGCTTCTAGGATATTATTTTATTTTGGATGAAGGTGCAGTATATGACAGTAGGATTCATGTGGAGTTGTAAAACTTGAGATGTGCTGGATAAAAGGAAAAGAAAGCTGGTGAGAATGTGGGGACTCAGCAAGAACTTTTTGCAATAAAATTTCCATGATGAAATTTGTTTGCCTTGGGGGATAAAGTTTTCAAGATGAACTTTTTGCCAAGTTTTCTTTAGAAAGAGAGGAGGCAACTAAGAAGTACGGATACTTATAAATTTATTGCATACAAGCTTAGATACGCTTGGATACTTTTCGATATGTACCAAATACGTTTTTTTTAAAATTTATTTTGTAATTTTTTATATTCTTTAAATTTTCAATATGTATCGGATACCTTAGAACATGTGAAGAAGAAAAGTTTTATTGATTTTAAACTATTTCATAACTCATATTATTATTGGTAATAGATAAAGTTTTTTACTAGTAGGTAACTATTGTTAGCATCAATAACGTGATAAAAATACATAATGTTTATTAATTAATAGCTACATGAGGATCCAAAATGGCTTCCTCCTCACAAGGACCCAAAAGTTTACAAAGAAAGGACAAAATGCTTAAAAAAGTATTTTTCAAACTTGGGGAAGTGCAACAAAGTTGTTGGGGAATATGCTAATTTTATTGATAAATCAAGGGAGTTTGGTGATTTGATTTTATCACTAATCGGTATAATATGGACCTATAGACCTGGTGACTGTGACATGGTTCAGTGCACCTTTGCTTTAATTCATTGCATTGGAACTTCATGTGTAACATTCTTTAGTTGAAAGAAATTGGAGCATCTACTCTTTTGTGTACTATATGAGAAGGAATAAAACAACTGCAAAAAGAGATGAATTGGTTTCATTCATAGCAATTTGCGTCTCTTATCAAGAAAGTTATCAAAAGGAGAATCTAAAATGTGGGGAACATTGCCGAAGACTCATTTGACACTCTTGAAGGTGTTGGGCTACTTGGTTGCTAATGTAACGACTTAACCTCTGTGCTCAAATCGTTGGCTTACGTATTATCCTCCCTAGGAGAGCCTAGCCTATAATGATCCAGCCTTTATACTCAAACCATTAACTTACGTACTGTCTACTATGGGAGAGCTTAATTTTTACCCTCATGGATTTCTATTGTCCCCAGGATTTGAACATGTGACCTGTGTTCAAACCCTAGGGATAGAAATTCGTGAGGGGTAAGATGCATTTAGGTTCTCCTATAATGGATAGTACGAAAGTTAATGAGTTGGGCATAGAGGTTGGGTTGTTATAAAAAATGTATAATTTTTGTAACGTCCCGAGTCTCGTGCCCAAATTGTTATATCATACGTACTGTTCGCTTTGAGAGAGCCTAAGTTCATCTTACCTCTTACAACTTTTTGTCGTGTTCTCCAGGATTCGAACACATGACCTTCCTTAAAAAATTTAAGTTGAATCCTGATATCAATTGGGCAACCGAACACATGATCTCTCCTTAAGAGAGACTTAATTTTAATCCTTGTATCACTTGGAAGTTGCCCAATTGGTATCAAGATTCAACTTAAGCTTTTCTTAAGGGAAGTTCATGTATTCGAATCTTGTGGAACACAAACTACAAGATGTGAGGGGTGAGAGGACAGTTGCCTCCTAAAGCGAACAGTACGTAGCTTTTTTCTTTTGTAACGACTTGACCTCTGTGTCCAAACCGCTAATTTATATATTATTCACATTGGTGGGCATTTGCCCGTTTACCTCCTCACAGATTTCTATCTTGTCCCCAAAATTCGACCGTTTGACCCTTCCCCTAAGAATACAAAAATAGTATTGTCGAATGAAATTATTAGATAATTATGCTTAAGGAAAGTTGAATATTTAATAGAAGATACGTATCTAGGGCAGTGAAAATTTAGGAGCCAAAGTATTAATATGTTTATATAATGGCTGATTTACATAGAAAACGAGGACTATTAGGAAGAATAGAACTGGACATAAATTACAAAGGTGGAATAGCATACTTCATACCAAATTATTTAGTTAAAACTCTCCTCTGGCCATTCTTAATCTAATTTCTTCTAGTTTTACTCTTTAGCCATAATATATATGTCTAATGCTGTCTTTCCTAAATAAATTTCTAAATAAGTCCATATTTTTATTACATTCATTTGCATAGGTACACTAATATATGCTCTAATTATAGAATATTTTACATTAGAAAAAAAAGTATATAGATACTAGACAAGATTTAGATATCTTAATTAATAAATTAGATGGCTTTTGTTTCCTATTTTTGTAAAAATGAGAATGAAAAGTATAGTCGTATGAGCCTCACACAAGAGATAGAAATTCAAATTTGGTAGCTTGATGTGATGGATAATGGACATATTTTTCATTTTAATAGGAAAAAAATGGGAAACAAACAGGGGCTTAGAAAACTTAAATCTAGGAAAGGCTAAATATCTAGTAGATTTAAAAAGACTAAGTTATTCTTAAGGGAAAGGTGAGGTTCGAATTCTGAGGACGTGATAGAAATTTGTGAGGGGGTAAATGGTCATTGAATTTAGATCCATATCTTTGATTGATCATTGAAATTTAAAATGTCGAGTTTTGGTCAATGAATTTAGATTCATGTCTTTAATTGCTCTTTGAAGTTTAAGATGTCGAGTTTTAACTACTGAACTTTGAAAAATGTTGTAATTACTCACTGTAAACTCAACATTTTCCAAAGTTCAATATTTATGCTAGTGAGTAACGTACAACATTTATGTTAGAGCTGTCACTTGAGGTTTTACAAAGATTTTTTAGTTTGCATACTTTGTTTTCTTCATTTTCTTAGAGAATCTCAGTGGTAGCATCATGTAAACCTCTTCATCCAACTCCCTATTCAGGAATGCATTTTTAATTCAAGTTGTTGAAGTAGCCAATTCAAGTTTGCTGCTAGTGATAGAAGAACCCGAATTGTGTTTAGTTTTGCAAATGTTTCTGTGTAATCTATGCCATAGGTTTGAGTATATCCCTTTACAACCAGATGAGCTTTGTACCTTCTGTTGTCCTGTCTGCTTTATACTTCACATTAAACACCCATTTGCATCTAACAAGTTTCTTCCCTTTTGGTAGTTTCATCACATCCCAAGTGTAATTTATCTCCAAGGCTTTCATTTCTTCCATTACTGCTTTCCTCCACCTAGGATTTTCCAAGGCCTCTTGGATATTTCTCGAAATTTCTGTACTATCAATGTTAGCTACAAAAGATCAAAATTCAGGAGATAAGGTTTTATAAGATACAAATTTTGAAACAGGGCGAAGAGTATAAAATAGGAAATGATGAAATAGTAGCTTATAAAATGAAATTTTCTTTTAAGTTTTTAAAGATGGGAATCTTCTTAAATTTAGGGTGAGTCTGTAATATTGATTTCGTTTTATTGGCTTAAATAATGCTTGCCTGAGTGGCTTCCAAGTGAGGAGGGAGGCCCCAAGTGGATCACTTAAATCCCTAGCTCTCTTTAGACAGTTTAGATTTTTTTAACAAAGTCCTTCAATTTTGTGAATACACGAACCAAGAAAACTCATATAATAAGCAAAAATGAAAATATTTTGAGGTATGATTTTCCTAATTAGACTATTATTTGATCGAGAGATTTTCTAAGGTCAACTATTCTAATATGTTCCTTAACTTAATAGTTTAAAGTTATATAATATCATAAAATTGTCAATTTCATAACAAGAATTTTTTTTTCGAAGTTTAATCATTAGTAAATCTATACTATCCAAAGAGTTTAGGAAGTTTCCATAATTACGTACATATAAAGAGAAATTTGTATGTTAATAAGAACATTTTCATAAATAAACTAAATTCTAATTTGTTTAAATATAATTTCGTACATATTTATTCTGAAAATCGTGCTCACGTGTTTAATTTTTCATAAACTAACACGTTCTAAACATAAGTAAGCATAGTGAACATATTTATAATATAATCATCATCATATAATCATGACATTAAATATTAATGCATTTACATGTTCTTCTACCTGATTCGATGACGTCGAAGCTTGAAAAGTGGCATTGCATAGTGACGATATAATAAACTTCAAATTTATTTTTGTTAAAAAAAGAGTCTATAGAAATGTAAACTCGCTCTGATACCATGTTGTAACGAACACAATTTTTACATTTGGAATCATGTACCATAAAATAATACTTTCATAAACAATGAAAAACATAATATTTTCTGAACATGCGAGGATTTAAAATTACTTTAAAAAAATACAGTAAATATCATTACAATCTGTCACTACTTAAATTATTCTTCATTTTTCATTACGCAAGAACAATCCACCTCCGATCACCTTGAATCCCTCTTTTTAGTTACCTATAAAATATTTAACATATACATGTGAACATAAATATTAGTAAATGAGTAATAACGAATTTGTATCAACAAATTTGTATCTCATATTTAAATACGAAAAATCATAACATGCATATGGACACACGGGAATTAAAACCCAAATTTCATGGCTATATTTCCCTTGCGTAGTGCTACTAAACTCCGATCCTTTGAACTTACACACATAGAACCCTTAGGCTTTGTTTGTCTACTATTTTTTTACATTCTACCACATTATTTTTTCTACAATACTCATTTTCAACCACACATTCTTCATTAAAATAATATTACGCATAAGTAATTTTTTTTCTTTTTTTTAATCACACATTTCAACATTAATCACTATTTCACAATACATTACTCACAAATAATGGGGCACAAACAAGTACTTATCATAATCATAACTTGGATTTCCATATTCATAACATAAATTTCCGTAATTTAAATAATGAAAAGAAGAATTCGTACCACTACAGTTATAGTTGTATGCAAGAAGATAAAGGTAAATCAAGGAAATTTTCTTGTTAGACTTTCACTCCAAAATTCCTTGGACACTGTACGTGGTAAACTTTATAATGTGAAAATGTATGTGGAAGATGAGTTAATAGAAAGAGATGTAAGTAATGTGAGGGGTGTATAAATAGGGATTTCTAAGGTTTGGCCCCTCTACCCATTTTTGGTACTAGCATTCATTTCTTTATTAATGCTTCACGTTTTTCCATATAAAATGTAATCAATCATCAACTCTTATCCAGTTATAAATATATATAATTGCTACTAATAAGTTGTTGCCATATAATTAAAATATTTGATTTAATTATACCAAATTAAATATTTTATCGTACCATACAAAATGTGAGATTACTAATTACATATGCATAAATAATGTTTCTAATTTTCAATAGATGCAAGTTTCTCTAATTATAATAATTAACTAATTAATTAGGTTAATTAACATGCAATATTTTATATCAAATCATGCGATCACATTTAATCAAAGTAGAAATTAAGTTGCCTTCCACAATCTAAATACGGCAATCCCATAATCTTTTCTTTGATTAAACATGACAACTCCATGATGATTTCTTTACCAAAATTTGAAATTCAAAAAGTGCACATTGGGTCCTTCAACTAAGGAAAGTCTTCAATTTGTAATTTGGTCCTCTAACTTTTATCCTCTTACACAAAAGGTCTTAATTTCATAATTAACGACTATAAAGGATTTTGAGGGTATTACAGGAGCAATCCCGTCCCTAGTTGGCTCTGATACCATGTTGAAATGATAGGAAAATTGAACTAATTTTGTTCATCTGAGAGTTCTGTGTTTATACAAAATGATTACAAGTTAGGTTCCTGTATACCAAGAACTGGAAAATAGAAAATTCAGGAGATAACTCTTAAGAATCAAAACAGCACACTTACATTTAAAATAAACTAGCTATAAACAGGAGGAGATAAGTATTATCAAATTCCTAGGATTTATTCATATCTTAACTAACTAAACTTCAGTCGTTCAACAGCTTTGTAGACCTTTTTGCTGGTCAGTTTCCTCTTTTCTTTTGCTTCTTTTTCTTTACTTAGCGGTACTTCTCTTCACTCTGCTTATGTCATCAAAAGTTTTGAAAGACAGAAGATGTTCCAAATAACACATGCAATGTCGGGTTCATAATGCAGGGGCATGTCTGGTGACCTCTATCTGGTTCTCCACATAGAGGAAAAATTTGGAATTCAGAGAAAGGGCTTGAATTTACACTCAAAAGTAAATGTTGATTATACAGAGGCCATTTTAGGGACAGTTATAAAGGTAATCCTCGATATGTTTCCCTGTTTTGGAGATCTATTCAATGCTTCCAACAACAATTAAGTAGTGAAAAAGATCTTTTACAAAATCTGACCTGCAATTTGAAAGAGCTTAAGAATTTCTTCAATTTGTGGAGAAAACCATCTCCATGAAAATGAAATAGAGAACAAATTATTGTTGATTGAATAAACTGAGTCCTTAATGATGGTTTCTGGATACTGTTCTCTTAGAATGAAGCATGCTTGGCCAAATTTCAGTCTATGTTGGTCCCCCCTGGATACTATGGGGTGCGGTATGTCTTTCTACAATATGTGTATCTTAACTGAAACAATACTGCCCAATCCAAGGTTCTTTTTCTTGACTTCTGTTGATGTTATCACCTTCCTCTCTTTTTCTAGTATCGGCTAGGATGTGCGGCATATGTGAGATGGGTATTGGAAAGTCCTCAAGTTTAATCTTGAGCTTTGTACTTCCAATCACCTCTAGTGATATCCAGCTTGCCAACAGCAAACTTTTGGATTTTGTTAAACTGTTATCATTGTTCGAATCCATGACTTCCCTTTCCATTTAAATCTCTATGAAAAATAAAATGATCACACTGTTTTGTACTGCATTGAAATCCTCTTTCTTTCACCAAAGTTGGCTGGCAGCTACCATGGATTATAATTGCAGGTGGACACTGTAGAAGGCGTGAGAAATCTTGAGATTCCTCCTGGCATTCAACCGGGAGATACTTTGAAATTGTCACGCATGGGTGTGCCAAATATAAATAAACCTTCTGTTCGAGGCGATCATCATTTCATTGTGAATGTTCAGATTCCCGAAAATATTAGGTATAAAATCTTTTTAACTTGAAAATGTTTCTTGCATTAGGATGTGTGGCTTTCAAACCATGATTTCTTCATTTTATTGTATAATGTAAAAAGTGCAAAAGAATAGGTGAAGTGACTTACCAATGCTTCTTGCTTTGTTGAGCCTGATGTCGTGGATAAGATGATTCAAATTTTATTTTGGGGTTTTGTATTAGGTTAAGGTCTAATGACTTGTTGCATTTGTAAACAGGGATTAGAGAATTTTTTAGGACCAAGTGACACCTGTCCATTTTGCATAATAGCAACTATCTTTGGCTAAATAGTGGACTGGATCTTGGGTTGTGTTTCACTAGCTTCCTTTAACAGATTTACAGTAAAGTGGCCTTTTCTTTTTCTGTTTGTATTCTTAAGGTTCACATTTTAGGTATTACTTGTCCTTGTTTAAGCTGTTGTTTGGTTTTGCTAAAAATAAGATTTTTAATATGAAAGTGGATGAAATGTGTGGTTGAAAAGTTGATAAAAGTTGTGGGTCCCATGAAAGGTGTGGTTGAAAACGAGTTTCAAAAAATAAGGGCAACCTTTCCCTAAATATACTACTTTATTATAGATAATGTATTTCTATCAATAAAAAGTTATTTTGCTTTTTGTTTTTAGCTATTTATTTGAGCCACTTTTGCTATATCTGGTCTATTTTTGTAATATTTAACATAGATTTGTTCATGTTCTAATGATTTTGATGTTTGCATAATGGTTAATATTCTAATCTACGATCTATAATTTTGTTATGTAAGTGATTAATATCTAAACTACAATCTATAATTTTGTAAGTGATTAATATCCAAACATAATTTGAAATAAGTAGTATTCTTCTTGACAAACTCTTTCAGGTTTTATGTGCTTCAAAATATCCGCAACTAAGTTGTTATGTGGGTTTATTAGCAGAATTGTGGTTTTTGTCCTATATCTTGTTTTAGCTATGTTAACATTTTCAAGCACTTTAAGAGATTGTTTTGAGGTTTCCCATAACTTCTTGCACAGGCCGTATGCTGTGTTCTTGTTGTTCTCTGTTATGAGTCCCCTTTAATATATATACACACACACACATTTTTTTTTTTTTTTGGCAAAAGTGATAGATGCTTAGACTAAATGTTCATGAATAGTTTGATGTACTTTTGAGTAGGTTAAAACTTTAGAAGGTGAGATATGTTCACTGATGTAGTGAAATATTATAATAGTGATGCAGAACGCATGCTAGTTGAAAAGTTGGCTTCTCTTAAGCAAACATCTCAGAACCATTCACTCCCAGACAACGGTAACTAACTTTAAGTTTCCTTCAAACAAGTTCTTTCCTTTGGATAGTTTGCTTTATTCTATAATTTTACAGGGACACGTGGAGGTAGTGATAAGAATAATGCTAGCCAAACTTCAAATCCTGAAAGAAAAAGTGTAACATATTTATGGAAGTCAATCAAGGACTTTTTGAGGTATGCTTTGTTCTGTACTCAAATGCTACCGTTTCTTTGTTATATTCCATTTCTTTCCCGCATTATGTGTCGCTCACATGCAATGTTGTTGCAGACTTGTTAAATCCAGAATTACTTTTTATCCATTGCAACTTGATGCTTTATGTTGAGTTTGACATATGTTCAGATATAAACGTGAAAATGTTGTCTTTCACCTAGTAAATTTGAGGTCTGAGCAACTCAAAAAAGTCGAGCACAGCTGATAGATCGGAGTAACAGAGTGAACTTCACAATTAGAAAATTATCGGAAACTGATATTGAAAAGACATGATACTGCTTTTGTGGAAAGAACTCACTAATTATTTGATGTGGGGACCCTTCTAGAAATCTTGGGTTGACACTTGGGTTCTCTAATATGGTATTTACAAATAATATCGTAGCTTTGAAAAAGGTAAATAGGTTATGGCTCTAGAAGCTGATGAGGTTCGTGAGTACCTTGACTTCTAAAGCAAATAACTAATGAAAATTAGTCATTAAAGACTACCAATTTGTTGGTCCGTGAGATGATAAAGTTACATAACGACTCCATTCATGAGCTAGTTAATGTGAGATGCTTTGTGAGATAGTCTTTCAACTTCTTGAATGTCCATTTCTCAAGGGCCATTTATGTTTGATAAAGTAGTATCGGGCTATGATGCTATCCATGTTGGATACATCGACATAAGATTTTTAAAAAAAGTACCAGTACGACGTATCGACACGTTGATTTAGTTCTTTAAAATTATTCATTATGTAGTATAAAATTAGTTTTTTACTTGTTGATATCTTTCAAATATAAGTACCTATTTGTTATTTATTAATAACTTTGAGTTGAAGATATATTTTTAATTAAAAAAAAAAAAAGTAAAAATGCTTATGGTAGATTGTCCGAAGAGTGTCGGTATCGACACAGGTTTGACATGGACACATTACCCTAGTTGAAGTGTTCGTGATGTAGAGACACCGGATTCCCCAACCTTTATGTAGGGTCCTGATACAGTGTAAGAGTGGGGACAATGCAATATATACCCTAGTCTTGTTCTAAAAGAACACGAGACTGCAACCGTGTAGTCTTTAAGAATAATAAAAGTGCAAAGCGAGGCCATAACTCTTGATAATATGAAAACATGCTAAACCGTAATTAAAAAAAAAAAAAAAAAAAAAGAAGATATCATAACTAAACTTAAAAGTAAAAGGATTTTTCCAATGGCGCATGCCCCAATTAGCCTAATTTGCATCAGGTCCCGAACTAATTATTTAACATGTATATAACAGCAATATTTTTAGCACTAGGGTTCCCACTCACACATTCAAACATCATCCAATTAGCACATAATATACTGTCAGTGGGGCATAATAGTAATTCAGAAAAGGTTAACTAAATAAAGTAAAAAATGTGATCTTCTTCACCCACACCCGGTTGATGCAGCAACCTCACTTCCATTTTCTCCTGGCACCTCAAATCTAGCAACCCTCACTCTGGTTGCCTCTTCCTCATGCCCCCACCTCTCCTTCCCATCCCCATCCCCACCCCGCTGCAACCTTTTAATTTCCAAATTTCATTTTCTGTGGGAATGAAGAACTTGATCACTAAGTTTTCTTGTACAATGGTAAATTCTGTTGGATTGCTTGTATAAGTCCCTAATGTAAAATGACCAAAGAGAAAAATACCGGGCAATGGGAAAAAAAAGAATGTTATGGTTGGAGTTCAATTTCAACCAAAACTTAGCTAAATTACTCTCTGGAACTTGCACCAACTGAAGCTGGCTGATTGATGACCAATGCAAAAAAGAAACATAGAAATCAGGGTGGGGAAAATGATGATAAAAAGAGAAGACAACATAGAATTCAGATTGAAAGAAGAAGAACGAAGAAGCAAAGAGAAAAGGGGGGAATTTGATTCTGCACCAAAGCTTTCAATATTCATCGTTCCTTTCCAAATGCAAAGATACAACTATATATAGACCTAAACAACAACCGTAAAAGTAAAGGGCTTGGGCTAGCCCACTAATAACACAAGCCCAATTAAATAAAATGAAAGTAAATGGTCCAATCCATGACATCCCTTCCCCTAAAATTAACCTTGTCCTCAAGGTTCAAAGCCAGGATGTCTTCTTTGTATGTTGTTAGCTGATGCCTCATTCTCTTCGCCACCCTTGAATTAAGCAAGTAGTGCAAGGTGGCATATGTTTGGTTGACATTACTTGCACTACTCTTTTCATCCTTAAGCCAAACTGTTGGTCTGGTGGGAATTGGATTACCAAAGCTCCATTTTGGTTTTGAAGGTTGAAATCTCCTCTATAGTTACTTCGTTAGCAACCTCAATAGCTGAATCATTTATTCCATAGCAACCTTCTCTTTGCAGTCTATAACATTAGAGTTAGATACTTTTGTATTGCTTTCCACAATTTGAAATTCCATTGTCTCAACCCGCTCTACTTCCTCATTTTCAAACTTCTCTCTCACCCATTTTCTAGCTTAATCTCTGTCTTGGTTTTAGCATCTAATGCCTCTAATGCCTCCCCCACAGCTACTGTTTCCACTCTTGTATCAGCCACTGGCACCAATTCTTATATCTCATTTTCATGATCATCCAACAAAATTCTTGAACCATCATTATTTTGGGATTCTTCCTCAGTTTCTGAAAACCTCCTGTAAAGATCTTCCCTAGGATGACTGGCAATGATTCCATAAAACCATATGTCTGCCTTCCCCTTCAGGTACATCTACTCCCAATCTAAGTTCATCAGAAATTTGATGGAGTTGAAAATATTACATAGCTTCCCTCAGCCATTCCCTGGGTCATTCTCCCCCATATTGGGAAAAATCAATTCTAGGCAATTTACCATTTCACTTGAATTCCCCTCTAGTACGAACACTATTTTCGTTACTACTAGCCCATTGGGTAGTTATCACACTCCCAGATCTGAAATTAACATTAAGCCCATCTATTCCTTTATTTTTCTGATCCATTTTAAGATTTGAAGACATTAACTCATGGCCACTAAATTTTCTTATTTTTGATTCAAGTCCAACATAGCATCCTCAAATTTCTCTTGCCTATGAACAAGTACCTGGAGATTTTGATTTGTGGACTCCCATTTATTCTCCAATCTGCTGGTAAGAGCTTTAAAGGATGTGCCTAGATGCCCTATCTCCAAATCCTGTTTCTTCAAATGTTCATCAACAACTTTGGTAAATACCCAATTAAATTCGCTTGCTTTGATTCCATTTGTTATGGTTGGAGCTCAACTTCAACCAAAACTTAGCTAAATTACTCTTTGGAACTTGCACCAGCTGAAGTTGGCTGATTGATAACCAATTCAAAGAAGAAAAATAGAAATTAGGGTGGGGAAAATGATGATAAAAAGAGAAGACAACATAGAATTAAGATTGAAAGAAGAATGGAGAAGCAAAGAGAAAGGGGGGAATTCGGTTTGCACCAAAGCTTTCAATATTCATCGTTCCCTTCCAAATGTAGAGATACAACTATATATAGACATAAACAACAACCCTAGAAGTAAAGGGCTTGGGCTAGCCCACTAATAATACAAGCCCAATTAAATAAAATAAAAGTAAATGGTCTAGTCCATGACAAAAAATTTGCTGGAAATAGAAAGAGAACCATATAATAAGAATTATGAAACAAATAATGCAGCCGACAATTCAGCTGCAAAACCATTCATTGAGTACACATTTAGATTCATAGTTATCTTGGTTGTGGGCTGTGAAGGGCTGATGGGTGGCACTCAGGAAAGAGAGACTGATGGGACAGGGACTGGGACCGGAACCAGGAGGGGGCTGGGAATGATGGTGCTGAGTGGGGAAAGGGGTTGAGATTGGAAGAAGATAGTTTTTGTATTTTTATATTCTGTTTGTTTGTTAAAAGTGGACAGTAGTGTTTTTAACAAGGGTGGCGTGTACTAGTCATGTGGTGTGGTTTTTCCAGATAGAAACAGTCAGTAGGCATCCAAGTGATACGAAGATTGAAGGTTGTGGATACAAATGCTGAGAAAATTTGCTTGGAACGCAAGTGCCAATATAAAAAGGTTGGTGGCGTACGGTAGCTGTTTCCATTAAATTTGTGAAGAGTGTGTATAAAAGGAGAAAAATTAATGCATTGCACCTGGACTTGTTACAATTCAACCTTCTGCAAATCACATGAAGTGTTGAGGGGCTATGACATAAAAGAACTGGCACTAGTTTGTGGATTTTACATTTTGAGTGGAAAAGGTTATCTTTATGCCCGTTTAGCTTTAAATGAGGTGATTGTGAAACCTGAATTCATGGAAACTAATGGTACCTTTGGAATTCAAGAATGTCTTCTGTTCCATGCTTCTAAAATTGGGCATCCTATGAAATAAAAAAATTAGCAGATTGAGGGATGATTCTCTGTTTGTAGGTGCATTGGTGACTAGTCGGCTTTATCTCAACATTTACTCGTCTCATTTGTCAGCCTATGACATATTTAAGTTCTCCTAATCATGACCCAAACCTATTCAATATTAACAGTTGACACTTCTTTGAACATTTATGGTTTTATATATTCTAAATCAGTTCTTGAATTTCTAGGTTCTCTCCTTCTCTTCTCCAAACATAATGCATATTAGTGATTCCCTATGTTATATATCTATCCTCTTCTAACTACATTCCTATTCATAGAAAAAAGCAACCTCGGGAAAGATTTGCATCAATTGGCATCGATACACCAGCATTAAGGAGGTCTTGTAGGACCCAGCAGAATTTTCCATTCCTGCTTTCTATTTCTACTGTTTTTGTTATGGCATTTATTGCCATCTTGGTGAGAAACTGTGGTAGCTCTATACAACGGCCTAACAGAGAAAATTGAACACTGCAATCATCCTTCTAAGAAGGTAAAAGAACAGTATTAGCTACTTTTGGATAATTGTGTGTTAATTTTCATGTATTATGTGTATCGTATGCTGTAGGAGTGGATAGTCATTTTCTCAACATTCTTCTCTCTATAGCATGGTAAACCCAATTTTAGCAACTACTAATTTCTTGCTTAAGTTTGATTAATTGATGCAAAATGATTGTAAAGCTCGACTTCGGAATTGGCCAAGTTTTGCAACCGTGCAAACGTTTAGTGCTTTAGTAGCCGGAGTAATTACTTGGGGGTGCCTAAATGTTACTTCAAGATATTTGTTATGATGGAATGGATTAAGAGAAGCATATGAAAAATTGTGTCATCCTCTCCATATCATTAGAGCTCTCTTGTGAAAAAGGTTTCAGCTGGCTTTGACCTATGATTACTTGTATGCCACCTATGATTCGTGGCTCCCCGTCCCTCGCCTTGGGCTTTAAGAGAGAGAGAGAGTTTCCAGTTCCAGTTGTGATCTCTATCAAATAGTGAAGGCTGTTTTGCTACTGAAATCATTCATTTTGCAGGTTGTTGAGTCACTATTTGTATACAATAGTGTATTTCTTGGAGTAGAGAAAAAGATTATAAAAGAAAATTTAATTATTATAATTTATTTTTTATTTTTTTTTGCACGTCATCATAATATACACCATTATATACAAATAACTTTACTAGGAATCACATATTCTTTGAGTCATGAATCTGTTACGAATAAAACGGTTCGAAAATCGAGCGTTGTCTAAAAATCATCGATTTTTCAAAGTTCCCTAACGTGATGGATTATACATAATCCGAAAAGCACTATCAAACTACTTTCACACGACGAAGATGATTTTTCGAAAATACATTCTTTGAGTTATGTAGGTGTGATGAAATAAAACGGCTCGAAATTTGAGAAGGGCCTAAGAGCATTGATTTTTCAAAGTTGTCGTAATGTGACGAATCATGAATTGTCGAAAAGCTCTATTAGCTTAATTTCACATGCAAAATAAGGTTTTCCAAAAGCACACCTGTTCTTTGAGTTCTGAAAATTCAATCCGACCACTTCTACATGTAGAGTACGACTTTTTGAGATCGTACACGTTCTTTGACTTTTGATGATGTTGTGAATAGAAGGCGTGAAAATTGAGAATGGGCCTACAAATCGTCGATTTTTCGATCTTGTTTTAAAAATATGAATTATACATTGTCGAAAAGCTCTATCAACTTACTCACATGCAAATTAAGGTTTTCTGCTACGAGATACGTTCTTTGAGTTACGAAGCAGTTATGAACAAACAGCTCAAAAATTTAGCATATCGTAAAAATAATTGATTTTCCAAAGTTGTCATAATGTGATAATTCGCAGCCGGGAAGCTCAATAAATGTACTTTAACATGTTTAAAAGGATTTTGAAATTACAACCGATCTATGAATTATGAGATACTTGTGAATAAAATGACATGAAAGTCGAGAATAGCTCCAAAAAAACCACCAATTTCTTAAAAGTTGTCATGACGTGATGATATATTGTTGGAAATCTCTACCAAGTTACTTTCATATGAAAATTTTGATTTTTTAAATCACACCATTTCTTTGAGTTTTGAGGCTGTAACCAATAAAATGATGCGACAGCCTAGGGGCAATTGATTTTTCTAAATTGTCGTAACGCGATGAAGTACATACCGTCGAAAACTCTATCGACCCACTTTACACACAAAACACAATTTTTTGAAATCATGCCAGTTCTTTGAGTTATGAGACTGTTTCGAATAAAACGGAGAGAAATCGAGAATGACCTAAAAGCATCGATATTTCAAAGTTGTCGTACTGTTACGATTCATATATTTTCAAAAAGCTCTATCAACTCACTTTTTACATGCAAAACAAGACTTTTTCAAATGAAACCTGTTCTTTGAATTACGATGCTATTACGAATAAAATTTCGAGAAAATCAAGAATAGCCTAAAAATCATCGATTTTTTGAAATAATCATAATGTGATGAATTATACATTTTCGAAAGCTCTATCAATTTACTTTCTCACCTATAATATGGCTTATTGAAATCACACATGTTATTTGAGTCATGAATTATTTACGAAAAAAGGGCTCGAAAATTGAGCGTAGTCTAAAAATCATCATTTTTTTGAAATTGTTGTAACGTGATAATCATACATAATAAAAAAAGCACAATCAACCTACTTTCATATGTTGAAAATGATTTTTTGAAGTACGCTCTTCGAGTTATGGAGGTCTTACAAATAAAAATGGCTGGAAATTGAGAATGGTTTAAAAATCATCGATATTTCGAAGTTGTAGTACCGTGATGAATCATACATTTTCGAAAACCTCTATCCACAAACTTTCACGTGCAAAATAAGGCTTTTTTGAAATCACTCCCATTCTTTGATTTATGCTTTTATTACAAATAAAAAAGCAAGAAAATCGAGAATAGCATAAAAATCAATGATTTTTTGAGGATCGCCTATAAACACCAATTTTTCAAAGTTCTTGTATCGATGAATCATGGATTGTCGAAAATTTCTATCAGCTTACTTTCACATGCAAAATGAAGTTTTCCAAAATCACACCCGTTCTCTGAGTTATGAAGCCATTACAAATGGAAACAGCAAGAAAATTGAGCATAACGTAAAACATTCGATTCTTTGAAGTTGTCATAACTTGATGAATTATGCATTATCGAAAAGCTCCCACATGCAAAATACGATTTTTAAGATAATACCGATTTTCAAATTTTTGAAAGCACATCTATTTTGTGATTTATGAAGCCGTTACGAATAACATGTCTCAAAAATCAAAGCATATCCTAAAAATTATCGATTGTTTGAAGTTTCTAATGTGATGGATAATACACCGTCAAAAACTCTATCAACCCGCTTCTACATGCAGAGTACTACTTTTTGAGATCGTGCACGTTCTTTTACTTAAATGATGTTGCGAATAGAAAGGCGTGAAAATCGAGAATGGCCTACAAATTGACAATTTTTCGAAGTTGTCGTAACAACATGAATTATATGTTGTCAAAAAGCTATATAAACTTATTTTTCCATGCAAATTAAGGTTTTCAGCTACCACACCTGTTCTTTGAGTTATGAAGCATATCCTAAAAATAATCGATTTTCCAAAATTGTCATAACGGGATAATTCGTACACGGACCGAAAGCTCTATAAAGTTATTTTAAGATGTTGAAAATAGTTTTTCAAAATTAGATGTGATCTATGAATTATGAGACAATTATGAATAAAACGACGTGAAAGTCAAGAATAGCCAACAGACTATCGATTTTTTAAATGTTGTCGTAACGTGATGATATATCGTTGCTTTCACATGCAAATTTATGTTTTAAAACTCGCACAGTTTCTTTAACTTTTGAGCCTGTAACGAATAAAATGATGTGAAAATCGAGCGTAGCTTAAAAACAATCGATTTTTCTAAATTGTGGTAACGTGATGAATTATAGGCCGTCGAAAACTCTATCAACCCATTTTTACATGTAAAACACGATTTTTTGATATCATGCCCTTTCTTTTGAGTTATGGGGCCATTTCGAATAAAATGATGCAAAAATCGAGAATGGCCTAAAAAGTATCGATATTTCGAAGTTGTCATACCATGATAAATCATACATTTTCGAAAAGCATTTTCGAAAAGCTCTGTCAACTTTCTTTCACATGCAAAATAAGGTTTTCAATTTACTTTCATACCCAAAATATGGTTACACATGTTCTTTGAAAAATCGAGATAAAACTGTTTGAAAATCGAGCATGGTCTAAAAGTCATCAATTTTTGAAGAAGTTGTAACGTAATGGATCATAATTGGATAAGCACTATCAAGCTACTTTGATATGTTGAAAATGATTTTTCAAAAATACGTTATTTGAGTTTTGAGGGCGTTATGAATAAAACTGCTCGAAAATCGAGAATGGCCTAAAAATCATAGATTTTCGAAGAAGTCTTACCATGATGAATCATCCATTTTTGGAAACCTCTATCTACCAACTTTCATGTGCGAAATAAGGCTTTTTAAAATCATTCCTGTGCTTTGAGCTATGCTTTCATTACGGTGAGAAAATCGAGAATAGTATAAAAATAATTGATTTCTTGAAATTGTCATAATGTGATGAATTATACATTGTCGGCAAACTCTATCAATTTACTTTTGCACCCAAAGTACATTTTATTGAAATCACACACGTTCTTTTGAGTCATGAATCTATTATGGATAAAATGATTCGAAAATCGAGCAGTCTAAAAATCAAGTTGTTGTGACGTGATGGATAACAAAGCTCTTCCAAGATACTTTCACATGCAAATTTAGGTTTTCAAGATCGCATACATTTTTTTTTTTTGAGTTTTAAAATTGTAACGAATAAATTGATGCTAAAATCAAGTGTAGTCTAAAAAAAATTGATTTTTCTAAATTATTGTAACGTGTTCTATATGTTGTCGAAAACTCTATCGACCCACTTTTACACGCAAAACACAATTTGTTAAAATAATCCGTATTCTTAGAGTTATGTGTTGTTTCGATTAAAATGGCATGAAAATTGAGAATGGCCTAAAAAGCATTAATATTTCGAAGTTGTCGTACTGTAAACAATTTCGAAAACATCTATCCATAAACTTTCACATGCAAAATAAGTTTTTTCATATCATAGCCTAAAAATTATTGATTTTTTTGAAATCGTCAAATCACGATGAATTATATACATCGTCGAAAAGCTCTATCAAATTAGTTTTGCACCCAAAATACGGTTTATTGAAATCACTGATGTTGAGCCAAGAGCACCTTCATTCCTATATAAATATAAAATAGTGGATGTAAAAATCCACGTTCTTTGAGGCAGGAATCTGTTATGGATAAAAGGTTCGAAAATCGAGCACAATAAATCATCAATTTTTTGAAGTTTTCGTGACGTGATAGATTATACAAAATCAGAAAAGCACTATCAACCTCCTTTTATACATTGAAAATAATTCACGAAAAGTTGAAAAACACGTTCTTTGAGTTATAAGTGTCGCTATTGGTGCGAGTTGTAAGGAGTCTTGGTCTCAAGTCAAGCTGGGGCCTCATTTCTTTTTTGTAAGGGGAATAAGTGTACCGAAAAACTACACAAGTTGCTCCCTCGCCTCGCAGCGGCGGCATCTTTCTTTTAAGTTACTATAAGTCATTTCCTAAGCTAAGGCGGCCCCTCTTATTCTACGATAATCCAAGCTGTAGCTCCGTGAGTTTGCTCGGTGTTATGAAACAAAACAAGGCAAAAATCGGGAATGACCTAAAACTATCTATTTTTCAAAGCTGTCGATAC